AGAACCACAGGATACTGGAGGCTATTCGGCGGCTCAAACTAAAGCGTTGAAAGAGACGCGTGCAAAAGACAAGCTGGCGTTATTCATGCTCTTCCGAGCTGTAGGCGAATCCGGGTTCGAGAAGATAGCAAATTGTGAGACCTCAAAGGCAGCCTGGGACATCTTGGCAAATGTCTATAGAGGAGCTAACCGGGTTAAACAAGTCCGGCTTCAAACCCTTCGTGCCTTGTTGGAGGGAATGAAGATGAAGGACACGGAAGGAGTATCCGGGTTCGTTGCTCGGGTTCAAGGAATTGTGAACCAGTTGAAACGGAATGGAGAAGATATACCTGACACCAGAGTGGTGGAGAAAATCTTGAGATCTTTGACAGACCAGTTCGAAAACGTGGTTTGTGCGATAGAGAAGTCCAAGGATCTGTCTACACTCACCATTGACGAGTTGGCGGGTTCCCTTGAAGCGCATGAACAAAGAAAGAAGAAGAAGGAGGAAACTCTTGAGCAGGTACTTCAGACCAAAGCAACAATTAAAGATGAGAAGATGCTCTATTCTCAAAGTTTCCGAGGTAGAGGACGTGGCCGCAGTGGACGAGGTACTAGCCGTGGTGGTAGAGGTCGAGGCCGAAGTCAAGAAGTGTATGGTGATGAGTTAGGACAGTCAAATCAACAAAACTGGAGAGGACGAGGACGAGGTCGACGAGGAGGTCGGTCACATTATTCAAACATCGAGTATCACAAATGTGGAAAGTTTGGTCACTATGCGAAAGATTGTAACTCGGACAAGTGTTACAACTGTGGCAAAGTCGGACATTTCGCAAGAGAATGCAGAGAGGAGAAAAAGGTGGAGGAGACGTCCAACCTAGCCACAGAAGGCGAGATGAAGGATGGTGTCTTGTTAATGACACACAGTGAAGGAAGTCCTGACGATGACATGGAGTGGTATCTTGACACGGGTGCGAGCAACCACATGTGCGGACATAAACACTTCTTCAAGGAGATGATAAAAGTGGAAACCGAACATGTTTCGTTCGGGGATGCCTCAAAGGTTGAGGTAAAAGGCCGAGGTACGATCTGTTTCCTACAAAAGGATGGGTTAATTGGCTCAATTCGAGATGTGTACTATGTACCCGACCTAAAAAGCAATATTTTAAGCATAGGTCAAGTGATGGAGAAAGGTTACTCGGTTATTATGAAAGACCGGGTATTGTATTTGAAAGATGAGCAAGGTCGGATGATAGTCCGAGTTCAAATGGGTAAGAATCGTATGTATAAACTGAATTTGAAATGTGTACAGGTTGAATGTTTACAAGCCGAGGTAGAAGATAAGGCGTCACTTTGGCATCTCCGGTTTGGTCACCTACATTATGGTGGTCTAACCAAGTTGGCAGAGAAAAAGATGGTGGACGGGTTACCTGACATAAACTTTGAAGGAAAGTTTTGTGAGAGTTGTGTACTTGGCAAGCATGCCAGGACCACGTTTCAGAAGATGGCAAGATTCCGGGCTAATCAACCTCTGGAACTAATACATACCGACTTGTGTGGACCCATCAATTCGGGTTCCTTCAGCGGTAAGAAGTATTTTATTTCCTTTATTGATGATTTCTCACGGAAAACTTGGGTTTACTTTCTGAAGGAGAAGTCCGAGGTGTTTGATGTGTTCAAAAAGTTCAAGGTGATGATTGAGAAAGCAACAGGAAGCTATATCAAATCGGTGCGGTCTGACAGAGGTGGGGAATATACCTCAACAGCGTTTATGTCGTTCTGTGAGGAACATGGGATAAGGAGGTTTCTAACAGCACCATACTCACCACAACAGAATGGCGTGGCTGAAAGGAAGAACCAGATTATTCTTGACATGGTTCGGTCAATGCTGAAGAACAAAAGGATGCCGAAGGAGTTTTGGGCGGAAGCTGTGCAGTGTGCTGTGTATGTGCAGAACCGATGTCCACATTCAAGCTTGGATGACAAAACACCACAGGAAGCATGGAGCGGTCAAAAGCCTTCAGTGGCTCATCTCAGAGTTTTTGGTAGTGTGGCCTATGCACACATACCGGACCAGCTCAGAACCAAGCTCGAGGATAAAAGCAAGAAATATGTTTTTATTGGATATGATGAAAAAACAAAGGGGTATAAGCTGTTTGACCCCGTCAACAAGAAAGTCATAGTGAGCAGAGATGTAAAGCTCAATGAAGCAAATGAGTGGGACTGGAGAAATTCATCTGAGATAAACTTTGAAGACGGAATCACAACACAAATTATCAACCCGGCAAGTCCTGAAGCTTCTAATGATGAAGACGAGGTACGACAACCCAGGATGCGGAGCATACAAGACATATATGAGTCAACAAGTGAGGTACATTTTGTTTGTCTTCTTGCAGATTCTGAAAATATAAGCTTTGAAGAAGCCATCCGAGATAAGAAATGGCAAGACGCCATGAATGAGGAGATAGAAGCCATTGACCGAAATAACACATGGGAGTTAGCCGAGCTACCAAAAGGAAGTCGGCCCATTGGAGTGAAGTGGGTGTTCAAGAAGAAGATGAATGCTCAAGGGGAGATAGAACGATATAAAGCTCGGCTAGTTGCAAAAGGTTATAAGCAGAAGGCTGGAATTGACTATGACGAGGTGTTTGCCCCTATTACAAGGATGGAGACAATTCGGCTACTCATCTCACAGGCTGCTCAATACAGATGGCCAATACATCAAATGGATGTAAAGTCGGCATTCCTGAATGGTGTTCTTGAAGAAGAAGTTTATGTGGAACAACCGTCGGGCTACATGAAGGCAGGAGAAGAGAAGAAGGTGCTGAGATTGAAGAAAGCACTTTACGGGTTGAAGCAAGCACCACGAGCATGGAATGCTCGTATTGACAAATATTTCAAGGAGAATGGACTTGAACAATGTCCATATGAACATGCTGTTTATGTCAAGAAAAATGGAGGAGACTTGTTAATTGTGGCTCTTTATGTTGACGACTTCATTTTTATGGGAAACAATGCCAAGATGATACAAGAGTTCAAGAGCACAATGACAAGAGAGTTCGAAATGACAGATCTCGGTTTTATGAAGTTCTTTCTCGGTTTGGAAGTAAAACAAAATGAGAAGGGAATTTTCGTGTCACAGGAGGCTTATGCAAAAAAGATTTTGAAAAAGTACAAGATGGAAGATTGCAACCCGGTTTCAACACCAATGGAACCCGGTTCAAAACTTTCTAAGTTTGATGGAGGAGACCGTGTTGATGCAAGCAAGTACAGAAGTTTGGTGGGAAGCCTACGCTATCTCACGTGCACGAGGCCGGATATCTCGTTGAGTGTCGGCATAGTAAGTCGGTTCATGGAGGAGCCAAGATACACACATTGGAAGGCGGTAAAGAGAATTCTGAGGTATGTTCAAGGTACAGTTTCACACGGGTTACACTACTCGAGCTCGGCAAAATACAAGTTGATTGGATATTCTGATAGTGATTGGTGTGGAGACGTAGATGATCGAAAGAGCACGGCTAGTTATGTGTTTTTCATGGGCAACACGACATTCACTTGGATTTCAAAGAAGCAACCTATTGTGACACTGTCGACATGTGAAGCTGAATATGTAGCTGCATCTTGGTGTGTTTGTCATGCAATGTGGCTCAGGAATTTGCTAAGCAAGCTGGAGGAAAAACAAGTCGGCCAAACTGTGATCCGAATTGACAATAAGTCGGCTATAGAGCTAGCCAAGAACCCGGTAAATCATGAAAGAAGCAAGCATATTGACGTCCGATTTCACTTCATCCGGGATCAAGTAAAGGAAGGAAATGTGGAGCTAACACACGTGACCAGTCAAGAGCAAGTCGCGGATATCTTCACGAAACCACTACCGACGGTACTCCTTGACAACTACAAGAAATTGATCGGCATGAAGGATGGCAGAAGCATTTAAGTTTACGTGGGAGTTTTGTTGAATAAACGTTAAATGTGGAGTTATGTGTCAGTTTAATTTTTAATGGGTTTAATTCAGCAATCAATTTAGTTTTTAATGGGTTTAATTCAGCAAACGTTAAATGTCAGTTTTATGTTTTTAAGTTTCTGAAATTATGTGAGTTTATTGTGATGTTAAGTGTCTTTATTGTAGAGTTACAAGTTTTGTAATTTAAAAATCTATTGTTTGAATGTAAAAGTTACGACTTCTGCCTTAGTAAAAATCCTTTGTTTTACTCTTCTCCTAACACGAAAGGTTTGTAGGTGCAAGAGAAGGAGGATAGGTTGGTGCGTTGGATCTTCCCAGAAGAAGGATGGTGCAAACTTAACTTTGATGGTGCTTGTAGTGATGGAGGAAACAAGACGAGTTGCGGTGGTGTCATAAGGAATGCATCAGGTAACTGGGTGAAGGGTTTCAGTAGGAATACTGGTGCATGTACCTCCACTAGAGCAGAGCTGTTGGGGCTACTTCATGGCCTTGAAGTAGCTTGGGAGATGGGTATCCCGAAACTTTAGGTGGAAGGGGACTCTCAAGATCCTATTCGGCTGGTTTTGAAGCAGTGTAAGGTGCATCATCCGTTAGGATCCTTGATCAACAGGATTAGAGAATTGTTACGTAGATCATGGAACACCAGACTTAGTCATTCGTACAGGGAAGGCAATAGGCTTGCGGATAGGCTAGCTATTTTGGGGTATTCTTTTAATAACTGGAAAATGCATATTTTTGAGCATTCCCTTGCAGAATGTGTCGGGTTGTTGGATAGGGATATGAAGGGCACTTCTCTTGTGAGATCTTGCCCTGTTTTGTAATCAATTTCCTTAATTTTCAAAAAAAGAGAGAGTAGCATTTGACCTTGAAAAAAACAAAAAAAAACTGGGCAAACATCGTCTTAAAATCGAAACAAAACATAAAAAATTAAGAAAAAGTGCCCTTCATTTTATTGGACTGGAATAAGAAAAACTACATGAAAGGCTTCGCACACTCATTATATCATAGGACAAATAGCTTCTTGCAGCGGCCAAGGAACAAATTGAAATGTTTTTCTTTAATTGTACCTTCTAGTGAAAATTTTACTTGATGATGGGTCCATGGTAGAGGTAGTAAATTGCTGATTGAATCTAGCACCGTCCAACTGAGAAACAGATGGTTTTATTTCAAGCTGAGGTTCAGAGGATGGTGCAGGGAATTTGGTTAATTCAGAAGAAAGATTCCCATTAACACTAACTCTTTGACCCAAGAAATTTCTATCCATATGAAGTCGAAGGTTTTGTTGTTGCTGGTTCCAGTTCACAAGAGGTATATGGTTCTGAGAAACCATGGTGTTGTTCTGTGTATTGCCTGTATTGTGAACTGACCCCATATCAGGAACCATATCATCATAATTCACTTCAGACTTGATGGCATGATTAGGTTGAGGTTTTGACCACCCAAGCATTTGGAAAGAGTTACTTCTGTATGAGCAATTCAATTGGTGATCATCTCTTGTAGACTTGTCATGAAACCCAAGGTAGTAATTATTATAAGGGCATTGAGGATTTTTACATGTATAAATGTCATCACAACCTAGCAGTCTGGTTCTCTTTGTAGCAACTGGCCTCATAACAATGTTGTCTGTTGCCACATTTGGTTGCATTTGAACTATATTAGTATTGAGGGGTTGATTGTGCTTTTCCACATTATTTGTATCATCAGCATTGTCTTCAACATCATAATCATTGATCTCATTGAGCAGATTAGTCCCATTGTTTCCATCTAAAAAAGGTGCAAACCTTATCGGATACTTCTGTTTAGCTAAGAATTCCTCTTGGTTTATAATAGCCACTAAAATAGCAGCTTCCTTAGCAGTCACCTTGTCTTGTAGGAACTTAGATTGACGTACAGCCCTTCTTATCTTTTCAATATTAGGGGATATTGTTGGGTTTGCTCTTTTACTAAAGCCCAAATGGGTTATTAGTATGAGAAGAGCCCAAGGAACCTAGAGCCCAATGAGCTAGGGTTTCTTGGAACCCATATAAATAGTACCTCTTAAGTCATCAGCCTCCTAGGTCCTTTTTGTGAGAAAGAGGCAAGCTTAGAATCTGATCAGTGCCCACACACTTCCCCTTCCTCCTCGAGAGATAGTTTGGAAGATCTGCCACAGTCCAGCTTCAAGGAGGTTGTTCGTGCTGCGGCGCTGAGGTGAGCTGTTCGTGAAGAGGAATCCTACAAGGGAAGATTCTACACGAGACCTGCACACCGAAAGGTAATTGTGAAACAAGGATGATTCGGTAAGCATACCAATGTACTAGGTCCTAAACCGCTTCCGCATAAATCTAAGATATCCTACAATTGGTATCAGAGCCTTGGCTGTACATTGGTATGTGAATCTAGTTTCACTATTCATGTAATTAGTTTTGCTTCTTGAAATGTGGCACCTAGGGTTCTAGGATTATGGTATGAATTTAGCATGTGTATTTTATAATTCATTTTCATAAAAGTTTAAATTTTAATCGGTAAAAATGCTTTAATCCATGGTTAGGGTCTCTCGTGTATTTCTCGATTTGTAACAAGGAGGCTAATCCCATATGATTAGGTTTCCTCCTTGCTGTTTTTGTTTATTTTTGGAATTTCTGTGTATTTTTCCAATATTTTGTAAAAGTTCAAGATCGAGAAACCGCGAGTAAGATGCGCAGTCAGTACTGTCGGAGACTTTTCGAGGTCTTCCCGATCTCGGAATGAGGCGATCTATATATGGTTGGAAAGAGGACGGAAAGACGAACGCAACTGTGGGTAGCTTACCTCCATCTGAGTTTACACGCGCCTCCACGCGCCTCCACAAGATTCTGAGAGTGGCCGCCACTCTCCGGAAAAGAATGGGAGAGTGAGAGAGCGTCCGGCCACCTTTTTGGGTGGTTCCTGCGGCGGTGCACTCATCTCTACGTGGCGGTCCTTCCCCTGGAGTTTCAGCTTGATTTGACTTCGGGTGACGGCGGCAGACCTGACGGCTAGGGTTCCTCTTTCGCGTCCTAGGGTTTCTCGCCAAAGGATTGGGTCTTTGGGCTTTTGGGCCCATGAAACCCTAAAGGGGCTTGAGACAGATACTATGGGCTAGGTGAAAGTTGAATTCCAAAGTTGTATTATTTTATTTTATTTTATTTTATTTTCTTTAAAATAGGAAGGCCATGGATTAAAGTAATTATGATTTATTATTTAATGCTTTTATTGATTGGTATAAATTATATGATAGATAACATGCTTTATTGCGATAACATGCCATATAGAATAGGTGGTGCCATATTGTTGCATAACTTGTATGATTGCATGAGCATAATAGCTATTATGTCTTCAGCGACTAGTATGATAGTTATTATTATTTTGATTTTAAATCATCCTAAGAAATTAATTAATAATTATTATGATTTTTATTAAAAATCTAGATTAATAATTGAATTAATTAATTTTGGATAATTAACATCAAGACAAATAATCGTTATGGAAATTATTTTGATTTCAAATTATCCTCATAAATGATAATTATTATGATTGTTGCAATCTAGATTAATAATTAAGTCAGCTATTTGGATGATTTAAATCTAGAAAAATAATTAGAGAAATTTCTGAGAGAATTCTTTTATTTTGCCAGTAATTTGTGGGTTTTTCTGAAATGGTCATGGAATAACACACGTTGCATACAACATTCATGTATCATGATTGTTTGGAGCACACGCTGACGTAAAGTGACCGGATTTCAGGACCTTAATGCTTTCAAAATTATGTTAAGCTTAGTGCACGTTTATCGGCGCTCTTACTTATATAGTTTTTGAAATCGAACAAAGGATACTCTCAATTAAATAATTCTTGGAAATTAGAAAATGTTGCTTATGTTGAATGGAAGGAGATTTAAATTAAGAGATTAATTTAACCTTCAAGCGCATTATAGGACCATTAATAAAATAATCATGTGAAGTCCCATCGAATAAGCATGATTGGATTTTATTAGATTGGACTTAAATATCTATGGGAGGAGATTTAAATTAAGAAATTAATTTAACCTCCAGGCGCATTGTGGGCCTATCAATAAAATAATCATGTGAGGCCCCATCGGATTAGCATAATTGGATTTTATTGGGCCTTAATAATTTCAAAATTTTAATAAAGTATTGTACGGCCCATCGTCGATAATACTAAGTTATTAAAGATAATTTTGAAATTAAACAATGAATTCGACTGGGCTTATGAAAATTCTCAAACAAAAATGTTGAATGGGTGAAGGTTTTAAAAATTAATTAATTTTAAAACCTGCGGGCTCCATTTGTGGGTTTATTAGTGAAATGGTTATCGCTGAAGCCCCATCGGATAAGGATAATCAGATTTCACTAGATTAAATCTTAATAATTTCAAAATTTTAGTAAAGTATTGTACGGCCCATCGTCGGCAATGCTTAGACACTAAGGATAATTTTCAAATTAAACAATGGTTAATTACATTCAACTTTGGTAAAATTGTTAACCCTCCCATCGAGGCTCTGGCAATGGCACTGAAGGCCCAAATAACAATTTTGGTTTTTACAAGTGACTTGCCCATCGTAAGCCTTGTAAAGATAAACTGAAGGATTGTTAACAATAAACAAGAGTAGTTATGAGAATCTACTTGCACTTCGTTTGTTTATTGCATTATTTGTTTGTAATATTGTGCTTTATATGTTTTTCAGAAAATATCTTAGAAATGATTTTGAGTCAAAAACCTCTAGATGGTACCGACTATGAATAAGTGAAAAGCAATTTTTTTGATATTGTTCTAAAACATGGAAGCTAAATTTTGTTCTGACAATGCGAGGGCCATAGCAACCTGCAGAGGATGCGTCTTAGGAAACTAAGACGCATTTCTCAGATTAGGAAAGGGCAAATATGGTAGTTCGCTGCTATATTATTGTCAGTCTTTCCACATACTTGCATAAGCAAGTGTACATGATTAAGAGTGGAGTAGAAATGCTTCAGACTCTTAATGACATGTTTGCTGCGTCTAGCAGCTCTGCTAGACAGAATGCAGTCGGTGCAGGTTTTGCTAAGAGTCTTGTTAAATCCAAAGGGAAACCCAAGGGTGGTAACAAGAACAAAATGACTTGGTTATCAGTTGTCAAACCAGTTGCTATGAAGAAGCCGCAAGACAAGTTCTTCAAGTGCAGACTGAAGGGATACTGAAAGAAAAATTGTCCAGAGGTGATGAAAAGAACCTGACATGGGCATATCAAGGCCTGATCAGTGAATGAATTATTGATTCAGGAATCACTGATTATGTTTGTTACTCTTTGTAGTAGTTCAAACATGGCATACCTGTCAGCAATGGACAGATATTTTAAGCTTGAAAATGGGAACTTGTGTCTGCATTTGCAGTAGGACAAGTTATTTATAAGACTATGGTTTTGGGTGATTGTTTATTTGTTCCAGATTTCAAGAGGAATTCAATTTTTGTTAGTTGTTTTGGTTAAAACATGGGTTGACAATGCAATTGATTCCTCAGTTACATTTCAAAGTTCATCTTCGTCTTGTTTGTTCTGGTACATTGTTTAAATAGTCTTTATTACCTATGTCCTATACCCTTTTTTAAATTTGTTATGTTGAATGGAAAGGATGATGAACAAGAACTTTCACCAAAGAAATAAAAGTTTCAAATGAAACATCACTTTGGCCTTTGTGATTGAGTTATATTATCTCAAGTAGGAAACATATTTTAGTTAAAAGAGGGACTGAAAGTTCAATAATCTTTTAACTAACAGCTACATGTTAGTCCTATTTGGAAGGTAAAGTGGCCAAGCAATCCTACAAGGGCCAAAAAGGTTTGCGCAACTATTCAACTGGAACTGGTACATACTAATGTATGTGGACCAATTAGTGTTCAGACCAGAAGAGGTGATGAGTACTTCATTATATGAATGTTTACTCTGGATTTGGACAGATTAGTGCGCCATAAGTCTAAAGCTTTTGGAAATTCCAAGAGGTTTAGTCTGAGGCAGAAAAGCATGTAGGTGTTCAAATCAAAAACACTTTGGTCTGACTAAAGTGTTGGCTACCTGTCTGGTAAGTTCAGGTCTTACCTGATTTAAGAGGGGATAGTTTTTGTAACTGTCAACTCTAAGAACGCATTAGTTGAATGAAGTTGCAGTATGCAAAAATCAAACATTTCTAGACTTGGTGAAGATCATGTTCAATTATTCATCTTTGTCAATGTTGTTCAAGGGAGATGCCTAAGAGAAGGAAATGTACCTTCTTAACTTGATTCCGTCAAAAGTTTGTTGTAAAGACACCTAAAGAATTATGGAAAGGGTGCAAGCCCAGATCAAACCATATTCGGATTTAGGGTGCTACGACACACGTCCTACAACAACAGTCAAATGAGATGGAATCTTGTATGGAAGAGTGCATATCTTTTGGCTACCCTAAGAGAACTAGGGATGATTTCTTATTTAGTCTTAAGGACAAGATAATCTAAGTGAGCACTTATATGATTTTCTTAAAGGAGGACTAGATAAGAAATTATAAGCTCTTAAGTTAGGTTATTCTTGATGAGATTTATCTCAGATCAAGAATTTCCAGAATCTCTAGAAGCTTCATCCACTGTTCCCTTGATTGTTCAAGAGGGGATAGATATATCTCTAAGTGAACAAACAAGAGAACCATGATTGGAAATTCAACATGATAATATATAAGTGAAACTAGTAGAAATATTAGTATCACATGTAAAAGAACAATATCAAGGATAAGCGGATCCTCAAGAAATTGAAGATCCACCATTTGACCCACTCGTTGTTTTACCTATAAATACACAAAGTCTAGTGCAGTACATTCGTAGTGGGAGAGAACCTTGTTAACTCTCAAGTTGTCTCTTGTTGAGTGATATTGATCCTACTAGTTACGATAATGCACTAGAAGATGTTGTTGATCAAGTGTTGCTCAGGCTATGAACAATGAGATGAAATACTTGTATTTCAACTCCGTTCGGTCCTAGTAAAGACACCAAGAGGGGTAAAACCCACAAGGTGCATGTGGACATAAAAGGCAAAGAGAGGATGACAGAAAGGTGAAAACCTTCAAAGCTAGCTTGGAGGCATTTTTTGCCAGACGTCATGCTTGAGTCTATCCAGATTCTCTTAGTTGCTATAAGTCTCAATTATGAGATTTCATTTTGGGAGTTGGATGTCAGGATATCTACATACAACAACCAAAAGGGTTTGTAGCAAATGAGTAGGAACACACGGTATGCAAGTTGTGAAAGTCTATTTCATAGACTTAAGCAAGCATCCAGGTCTTGAAACATCAGTTTTGATTAGGTTATCAAAATTTTGATTTTGAGATAACCTTGATGAATGATGTGTATTTGTATGTAAAGGATACAACGGAAGACAGTAGCTTTTCTAGTACTTTATGTAGATGATATGCTCCTTATTAGAAACAATGTGGAGGTAATATCAAGCATAAAGAGTTGGCTAAGTTAGTGTTTTGGTATGGAAGTACCGGGGAAGCCAATTATATTCTTGGTATAAAACTCTTATGAAGCCGGAAGAATAAGTTGTTGGCATCACCTCTGGCTACTTACATTGACAAAACCCAAAATTCAACATGAGAATTCTAAGAGAAGAATTATAATTCTCAGATGTGGAATTCATCTTCCTAAGGAGTGACCAAAGACTTCTAAGAAGGAAGAATGCATGAGCAAGATATCTTATGCTTTGGCAAAGGTAGACTCACACATATCATGTTGGGCGTTAAACCAGACATCTGTCACGCAGTGGGAGTAGTGAGATAGTACCATTTTGAACCTAGAGGAATACTAGATTATTGTTAAGCATGTACTCAAGTATCTTTGGAGAACGAGAGATTATATGCTGGTTGGGAGTCTTGAAAAGCTGAGTTTTCAAAAATTCAGTTATTTCAAGTGGATATTGACTCAAGAAAATCAACCTCGAGCTATCAGTTTTTCACTAAACTCAGATAGCATTAGAGGTGGATCTTGCAGACCCAGTTACTAAGAGTTTGCCTGAACTTGTGTTCGAGAGGCATGTTACTTCTTTGGATTTTAGGAGGATCCCAGACTTGCATTAAGCAAGTGGGAGTTATTGGTTTCATTGTGCTCTTGGAGTAAGACGATGAAACAATAAAATAATTTTCTGAATTTCATAAATAAGGTTTTATTTATTTATTTTGCACACTATTTACAAACATAAAGGTCCGGATCAAATCGTGGAGTATATGATCATATGGATACGTTCATGGAGGACATGATCATAGGATCTCACAATTGATGAATGGAGTCACAGCCATTAAATAAAGTTGGGCACTTTATTCAGGCTGCAATATTTTATGAAGTGATTTTGTCCGAATCATTGTAAAATATTGGTGTGAATTAACATTCACATTGAAAGGATCAAGGAGAGATTTGATTAAGGTTGTTTTTCTGTCATAAGGTATCAAATCTCCAGTTAACTATAGTTATGTGATTGCTCTTAATCCTGAGTTTATTATAAATAGGTAATCAAATAGTTTTCATTCTTTGATTTACCAACGGGTGAGGTTCGATCTATTGACGACCAATAACTCGGTATTTTGGGTGTGAGATTATTTGATTATCGGTATTTATGAGATAAACAACATGGAATTTGTAGGATATGTCCCCTTGATATGTTTCGGTACTTGGATATTAAATACACTGGCCAGTGCATGTAATCCATCAGAGAAACTATCATAGTCAAGGGAATAAATAATTGATTGAGTTACAGAAAACTTGTCAATCAATTATAGACATTCTACAAAGGGGCGATGCATATTCATGTTATAAGTGTTGTTAATCTTGGAGTTCAAGTTCGGGCTTTTAGTGGAGTAGCACCGAATTAGATAATCATTCGTTGATTATCAGGAGCCTTGATTAATAACAGATGGTAGATCCCCAAGCTAGCTTGAGACAAGGGATGGGGTATTTTTCGGATAGATGATGACTTATGGGTTACATGATCTTGGGTTTTACGACTCAAGTTTGTATCCAAAAGAGCAAGTGGGAGATTGTTGGGTTTGCTCTTTTACTAAAGCCCAAATGGGTTATTAGTATGAGAAGAGCCCAAGGAACCTAGAGCCCAATGAGCTAGGGTTTCTTGGAACCCATATAAATAGTACCTCTTAAGTCATCAGCCTCCTAGGTCCTTTTTGTGAGAAAGAGGCAAGCTTAGAATCTGATCAGTGCCCACACACTTCCCCTTCCTCCTCGAGAGATAGTTTGGAAGATCTGCCACAGTCCAGCTTCAAGGAGGTTGTTCGTGCTGCGGCGCTGAGGTGAGCTGTTCGTGAAGAGGAATCCTACAAGGGAAGATTCTACACGAGACCTGCACACCGAAAGGTAATTGTGAAACAAGGATGATTCGGTAAGCATACCAATGTACTAGGTCCTAAACCGCTTCCGCATAAATCTAAGATATCCTTCAGATATATGCTTAATCACACCTGTGAGAACAACCACCTTCCAAGCCTTTTTCAAATCATGAGGCTTCTTATAAGGAGGTGGACCTGGATCCTTTTCAAAACCCAATTGAGGCCACCATTCTTCATTTCCTTTAGGCCACCATGGTGGAGGAACACCACTCTCAAAAGGGAACTTCCTCTGTGATGGGTCACAATGGTGCATTAGTGTAGACAAAAGTGATCCAAGAGTAGTGTCTTGGAGTTCATTCAAGGTGTGAGAAGTTATTGCATCTCTATTCAACCCTTCATTGTTTGTAGCAACTCCTTCCTCTGCTTCAAACTTGGCTATTGCAGCAGGGCCATTACGATCAAACTTTACCTTTTCCTTCCACCAAACTCTAAGATTATCAGAAGAATGTGTGATTGGGTTCCCTTCTTCAGGAATAATGCCAAAGACAAATCCTTGAGCATTGCAAATATCCACCATCTTAAACATATGATTCAATATACCATCTAGTGCTCTACTCATGATCTTCCCTTTCACTTGGTTTGATGATTGCAAATTCCCATTCTCCTTTTCCATGTTCTCTTCCTTAAGCCGCTTCAATAATATACTATTACTCAATATTCTCCTCTCAAGTTCCTCCACAGTTATTTCTTCATCGCTTTTGTCTTCGATGTTAGTTTCTGGTCTAAGTTTTGCAACAATGCCTCTCTCCATTCTTTGTTCTTACCACACTCACCTACTCTAAGGTGTCACCTTCCTGAAATAATCAACAAAATGATAAACTCAACAAATGCATTTATGATTTTTTTTTTTTCATAAAAATTCAAGTGGGATTAGACGCTCTGGTGTGATACGAATGAGTACTAAGATAACGGCTTAATGTCAATGCATGTATCACATGATCATTTAATATATATATATATATATATATATATAGGGCTTATCATTTCTCAAGCTGAGATAATTTTATCTCCGGCTATTAAATCATAACCGTACAAAGATGAATCAATGGTGATAAAGGAAGAGAGAGAAAATGAGAATCATAATCATTCAAAGGTGAATCAATTAATATAAGGAAATAAATAAACAAAACGACGTAGTTTTGGTGTAGCCAGAGATAAATATATCTCAAGCTGTTCGAGAAATATTTTTCTCATATATATATATATATATGGAAATAGTTATCTTATGTTGCACACTCGTAGAATCTTGTGCTCATATTTTTTTCTTTTGTATTATTTTAAAAATTGTGGGTTCCATAACTTTGTTTCACTCACATGAGATACCTATCTTATGTGAGATAAGATTAATAACTCCCATATATATAATGGGTGCATATTTTCTTATGTTGTAGGATAGTAGGAGAGAAAAAAAGTAGAGATAAGTTAAATGTGGGTCCCACATTTTAAATTAAAAAAGAAAAGAAAAATTAATTGGCACGGAAAACGAATTTGTGTAGGAAAAAGTTCTTATCTCATGTAGAAGGAGATAATGATTTCCCATATATAATTGGTTCATGGTTTTTTTTTTCTCTTTCTTCTTCCTACATGGGCCCCTTATACTTTATATATATATATATATATATATGTAAGAGATAATTTTATCTCGTATAGCATGAAATACATCGAACCCTAAATATAAGCATAGTTAAGAAATCACAAGGATAAAAATGTATTCTACTACGTTTATGAATAGCTAAACTTCCAATGCAAAACGAATTACAAAAAAATATAAGCTATATATATGAAAAGTCCTGGGAATTCATAGACTTTTTGTAATTGAATTCAAGGGCATCAAGCAAGAAACCTAAAAACATTTATCAAATGAAAGATGAAACCTGAAAGACAAGTCAAAATCATACCGAAAGTTATGTTACATCAACCACTGAATATTTTGGAGAAGAGGAAGAGATGGTCCTGAGAGAAATAGATAGAGAATACTGTGAGTGAAATAAAATGAGGTAACACAACACTAGTCATATATACACAGAGGGGCAATAGACAAGGATGGATTAATTATGTTGGCCTTATTTTATTTATTTTTTATCATTTTATCTCTCTGCTCAAAGTATATATTAATTGTCCTTTCTCTCAAATTATATATCAATATGCACTATTTGATTAAAGTTTGACAAACTCTAAATCTTTAGTAAATTATTTACTCGAATAAGTGTCGGGACATATTAAAATGTAATTTGGGAAGAGGGACAAAGTGATAAAAAAATAAAATCTAAAAGAAGGGTAAAATGGTTAATTAACCAAACAACGATGGTAACTTACATGTCATAAAAAGGAGAAAATCTTATGTATTATAAGAGTGCTATTTATGATAAAAAGTAGATTAAATATTAACCATTTTGAATATTATTGTTAATGTGCCTAATCACGTATCCAACAAATGGCGGAGGGAATGGGCTGTTGACAGGCCACGGCCTCCTCTGCTCAAAACTTCTAATCATTGTTAGTGTCCAGATTGGGAGACAACTTGAATTTTATTTTATTTTTTTAAATATAATTTAGAGAAAGTCATCAGCAATTTTATTTCTTTTGAAAAACAAATAGAAAATAAAAAAAAAGTTTTAAAACTAATCTACAAAAATCAATTGACTTTGAAATCAGTTATGCATAAGAAATGATGAAAACTTAATCCCATAACACTCCAGTACACTTGTCCTTGGACAATTATCCTAAAGGCAATTGTATGAATCAAATAATCGTAAATATAATTTAATCTACAAGAACAATAAAGATATAATTGAAAAGGTAAAAATTGAAAAATTATAACTTGACTTTACTTGGACTCGTATATACTCCAATAAGAATTGTTTCGATGTTGATATAAAAAAAATAAAATAATAATTGTTTCGATGTTGTTACCTGTTCTATGGAACGGTCGGTGTCGATCGTTTATGGTGGCTCCGTTGAGTGTCAAAATCAGCATATGAACAAAGATGGAGTGTATAAATATTGTTAGGATTATATTTGAGGGATTAACCTATATATATTTATAGGAGAGATGAAATGTCTATTAGCAAAGATGGTGAAATAATTAATAATTTACTAAACAAATCAAATTAGCCTAAAAACTTCAAATAATTTTTTTTAAGTATTTTTATCATTTTTTATTGTTTGAATAAAATAAAATAAAACACATTCAATAATTAAAATAATTTCTATTTTGTTAATATATAAGCTAAAACAATAAATAAATTAAAAAAATATAATATAAAAATATGCTAAAGAAATTAATAATTAAAAGGGGAAGAAAAAAATAACTAACCTTAAAAAAGAATAAAAATTTATTATGAAATATGCATACACTCAAATTAAAAACCAAGGAGTGAAAAAGAATTAGTACCAGAACAGGCAAACAAAACAAAAATCTCTCTCTCTCTCACTTAAAAAAATAACCTCATAAACAACAAATTACACATAAAACTTGATACGAGTAAAAAGTGCTTGATAACCGGCCGTATAAACAACTGATTGCTCAAAATCCTGGATAAATAAAATATTAACAAATTATTCAAGGAACTAGATAGTCAATGGGGAATTATTCAAATAATATGGGAGAAAGAAAAAAGTAACAAATATTTGACAATGTAAATAACATGAGGGAATTCAAATATCCTTAATAAACAAAATTCAACAAACTAGTCATCAACCTGGAGAAAACATAGAATTCAAATAAATGTCTACGTGCATTGTATGTGACATTGAAAAATGATGGATAAAAATTGATTGGGAGAGAAGCAAGAAAGACAACTTTTTGAAAGAAGGTTTTCCCATTTTTGTAGGGTGTCTAGGTGCGTTGAATGTGTCATCTAATTAGGGAAAATAATTAGGAGATTAGGGACATTTGGTAGGGGATTAATATTAAAAAAAGAGAGGAAAAAACCAAGTAAGGTAAGATTTTAAATCAATTGAATGGGAAAACAATCAAAGCGAAATGCTCCAAAGTTATAAAGGTTATTGATCTGGATAAAATATGATAGGTCTATCAAAGGCTAAAATCCATAGAGCAAGGCCCAAAGCCACGAGGCCTAGAATGAGGTGCGATGTCATCAATCGTGTATTAAAGGGCGCGATGTTACCATCGCGTCCAAATCGCCCTTCAGCATAAACTTCAGAGATAAGGAAGCAATCACATGAACTAATAAAGATCTATCGCGACATTGAACAAATAAAGAAGACAACACTAGCATGCTACCACCCTACCAAAATAGCCTGACATAAAGAGATAAGGCTATAGAAGCACCAGCTGAACCTGCAGCCCAGGATTAGCCAATCAAAAGTCACACCGCCTTCCTAAGGCGGTATCAGATTCACTATATAAACACAGGGTACATGTCCAAGTAAATTCATCTAATTCAGTAAGAATATACATAAAACCTGACATTGATACTGACTTGAGCGTCAGAGTGTCATTGCAGGTACCCCCCAGTCAGGATCATTGCGCCAAAGGTGAATCACTCATCCTCCATTATCTACAACAATCTCAAACCCAGGAAATAGACAGCCCAACTCAAAGTCTTCTAACCTCAACTGTAACACCCTGTGTGCACCCGGCGTATTATACATACATATGGTAATGGCGCAGCTAAATAAATGCAGAAGCTAACTCTTTCTTTCCAATTATGATCATTTAAATTAACCAGGTTGACTAAATTATCCTTTTCAAAATAACACCTATATGTAAATTGCAATCATTAACTACACTGAATAACTTCATTCAATATATGGGTATCTAGTCACGGAGCTACAACACGTAGACCGGACAATATCCTGATACATTCATTATACAACTCAAGTAAACTCAACGTAATATAAATCAATGTGGCATGGACAACCCCCATGCTCACCAAATCAGGAAACAAAGCCAAACAATGTCTCAAATCAATAGTCCTATCATAATATCAAGGCATGTATAAATCCAAAAGTGATTACAGGTAGACATGCATATATCAACTCAGCTCCAGCCTCCTGCCGCCAGAGGTCTCAACCCTTGAGGTACCTGTACCTGAAAATGTGCCCCAACACGGGGTGAGATCTCTAAAAAGAAATCTCAGTAAGACAAGGGGTCCTCAAGAATCTCTCCACCCCAAGCTCACTTACATGTGCAATATAAGTTCCAAAACAGTATAATAATATCATTTCCAAAATCTGTGTAATGCAGCATATATCCATGTCATGTGTGTAAGAATCATACTGGCCAAAGAATAAAAAAGTAGGGATTACATACGTCTACAACCTACAGTACAAGGAACATCGTTTGCACCTCACCCACGGGTTGCCAGCTTGTATGTCTACACATACTTAGGATTACCTTCTAGGTGGTACACCACATACATATCATATGGTACTTGCACTCAATAAAATAGCTCAATAGCATTTCAGTAATCATCAGATAATTTCGTAAACAGACATCATGCATATAACCACCCCTCCATGAGGTATAGTGGAACCAACAATGGGTAAAACCGAGAACACGAAAGCTTACCTCGCAAGCTAACAATCCCAAGTCAAGAGTCCTCAACAACCTAAGGTCACCAAACAGCACAATCACTGTCTGTTTATATCAGAAACAATCATTAATATTCATAGACCAATGTTTCACTAAGTGTTTAAGACTTTCCAACTTGTTTTAAGTGATTTTAGGCTTAATCTGTAGGAGGTATTCGAATACTCCTCGATGAGTATTCGAATACTCCATGT